CGCTTTCGCGTAGTTCCAGGATTTTCCGACCTCTGGGGTGCTTGTCCTGCCGTGACCGGTGATGACACTAGTCGCTGGTCTCGTGCTTCCTTCCTAATCTGACTGGCTCCACGCTTATTGTGATTGGCATCATGGAGCCCCTCCCACCTCTCGTCCTCCAGCTCCCTATGCCGTCGATCTCCTGCCTTTTTGTGTTTCTCTCCCTGCGCCCCAGAATCAGAGGGGGGATGGGGACAGGTGTGAATGTGTGTGTTTGTGTAGGAGAAACTTTTTAGGTATTGGGGCAGGGATTAACGCTAGGGAGTCTTCCGGGTACACTCTGCTGGGCAACAGCGGGCCTCCCTTCCTTCGTTCTTCTTTAGAGACCTGTCGGCCATGGAGCCTAATGATAGTACCAGTACCTCTGTGGAGGAGCCTGACAGCTTGGAGGTGCTGGTGAAGACGCTGGACTCTCAAACTCGGACCTTTATTGTGGGGGCCCAGGTGAGACACCTCAGTAGTTCTGGAAGACACCTTTAGCTTTTTTTCCTCATCTAGGCTCCTTAGCCTGAGAGATGAGCCTGATTTTTGGTGATAAGATTTTCTTTCTTTTCTTTTCTTTCTTTTTTTTTTTTTGAGATGGAGTCTCACTCTGTCTTCCAGGCTGGAGTGCAGTGGCGCGATCTTGGCTCACTGCAACTTCCACCTCCTATGTTCAAGCGATTCTCCTACCTCAGCCTCCTGAGTAGCTGGGATACAGGTGTGTGCCACTATATCCAGCTAATTTTTGTATTTTTAGTAGAGACGGGGTTTCACTATGTTGGCCAGGCTGGTCTCGAACTCCTTACTTCAGGTGATCTGCCCTCCTCTGCCTCCCAGAGTGCTGGGATTACAGGCATGAGCCACCATACCTGGCCTCAGATTTTCTTTTTATTGATCCCTTCGTATTCCAGTCGAACGTTTTTTGATGTTTTGTGAGTGAGGCTGATTTTGTTCTGTCCTCCACATAGATAGAACTTAATGCAGAGGGAAATACAGAGGAAGGAAGATGCGGGTCGTCATCATGGGTGGACCCCAGCCCAAAGGGACAGACATGGCTCTGGCCTTTGGGAAGGGAAACAGCACAGGGACCCTAAGCAAGTGTGTGTTATTGATAGAAAGCAGTCAGGTTTATGCTGTGTTTTTGAAGGGTAGAAATCAGAATCCATACTGGAGATAGGTCCTTGATAGACTGTTGAGTGAAATTACTAATTTTGGTGTCACATCTTGAGTCTCTCGAGCTTAAAGCCTTGGACACAGTTATCTATGTCTTTTTTTTTTTTTTTTTTTTTTTTTCCTGAGAGGGAGTTTTGCTCTTGTTGCCCAGGCTGGAGTGCAATAGCACAATCTCGGCCCACCGCAACCTCTGCTTCCCAGGTTCAAGTGATTCTCCTGCCTCAGCCTCCCTAGTAACTGGGATTACAGGCATGTGCCACCATGTCCGGCTAATTTTGTATTTTTAGTGGAGATGGGGTTTCTCCAAGTTGGTCAGGCTGGTCTCAAACTCCTGACCTCAGGTAATCTGCCTGCCTCGGCCTCCCAAAGTGCTGGGATTATAGGCATGAGCCACCGCTCCCGGCCCTGGCTATCTGTCTTTATTTCTGTAATACTTGGAGACAAATTGCATGTGGGGTGGTCCATGGTTTTCTAAAACATAATATTACCTGGCTATAAGAAAGCTATGTATAGACTTGTGATTAGTTGTGTATAAACATTCTGGTACTTCCCAAGAGTCAGTCTCTAGTTAGAAAAAATATTTCTCTTTTTGCTACTTTTTTTTTTTTTTTTTTTTAGGTGGAATTTTGCTCTTGTTGCCCAGGCTGGAGTGCAATGGTGCGACTCAGCCTCCCGAGTAGCTGGGATTACAGGCGTGCACCACCATGCCTGGCTAATTTTTGTGTTTTTAGTAGAGACGGGGTTTCACCATGTTGGCCAGACTGGTCTCGAACTCCTGACCTCAGGTGTTCCGCCCGCCTTGGCCTCCCAAAGTGCTGAGATTATAGGCGTGAGCCACTGCACCTGGCCTCCTCTGGAACTGCTGAACAAGCTCTGAGGACCTGCGAATCTCT